AACTAACTTAACCTAGCCTTCCCTAGCCTAAACCTTAACTAACTTAACCTAGCCTAACCTAGCCTAAACTTTACCTTACGTAACGTAACCGAATATAAACTAACCTAACCTTGACAGACCGTATATAGTAATATACAACTTAGTAAAAAAAAAAAAAAAAAAACTCTCCATATTGGTAAAAACATCAGTTCAGTTCTTGAATATTATTGAAATATTATTCCTATTTAGCGTGACTTCCAGATATGTATAATCAGGGCACAAGTAAGTGTTTTACCAACCTGAACAGTAAATTGTTGTTCCAGCAGTCCCCATGACAAATGACATCAAATTTTGCATTTCTCATTAATTGGCTCGCCAAGATGCTGCTACAGTCACCCTTGTTCTTGATTATCCATTGTTCTGCTACCTCATACCCTTCCACTTTGTGTAGCAATTCTTCAGCAATTGAAAAATGTGTTGAAATCATATTATGAAACATTTGGCCACCACTATCTGTACAATTCAGCCAGTCAGTTTTAATAGTTTTGAACTTGTCCAACAAATCTTGATCGGGTGTCCGTGCCTGTAGAAAGCGGGAGGCGGCGTGCATTCTGGCCAACTCCTGTAAAACGAGGGTGGCATGGGGTACGTCCATTCCCTTCCTGCGGTCGAACATTTGATATCCCCGGGGGCGTAGGTCTTCTAAGAATATCATTTCTCGACCTTCTTCTAAAAATGAATAATACCATTTCGCCATCCTTAACTGACGAAGACCAAGGGTTGTCAGCTCAGAGTTTAAGAGAGGGATGATTTTCTCATAAAACTCTGCTTCTTTCCTAAATATTGCCCCAAACATATCTGAAAAATCTTTACCAAGATCGCGTTGGGGGTTTATTTTGACCACGTAAGACACACTTTGGTTTTGTCCATGGAGAGAGAAGTTAACACTGACGCTGGTGACGACAGTGGCATAGTTGTCACCCTTCTGAGTGAAGTCCTTGATGCTCCAGGAAGTAAGTTGAGCATCATTGCCCTTGTCCGCCTTCAGCACCTTCTCCACGTATGTTTCAGTGATATTATTCTGTGGTCCTGCTGACTTTGTAGTTTCTGTGGTAGCCACTGGATAGAAACATTGGGTATTTAGAAAATGATTAGGCTATTTCTGTCGAAATATTAATAAATCAGACAAATTTCATCTGAAACATTCATTAATAAAGGAAAGTAATGTGGACGTGTTTATGGAGAAATGTTTGAGGTAAGAAATACTTGGCTACCAATATTATAAACAGCAACAGGTACTCAAATAACGGAGAATTTTACTTAAGTATTAATTTATAAAGTTTAAATGTAGACGTTTTCGCAAAGCAATTATTACGGCTCTGTGTTTTTCGCGTTCGTCTTTTTTCAGATATGAGAAAGAAGCAAAACACCTGCTCAGAAGTACAGATGAATCCTAAAATTATGATTAGAGCAGATATGGCCATAGCAGATGTAATTATTAATTGAATTCTGTGATTTACTTGTGGTTACGGTACAGTAGCAAAGAAACTATAAGTATGAACTTTAATTAAGGTCTAGTGCCAGAGAAATGCAGACATTTTCTTGTTTTAATAATGGTTTGGTAATAAAAAGCGATCTGGATAAATACATTCACAGAGCCATTGTGAGAGGTACAGTGTTAATAAAGAAGGGAATTTAAGTGCGAGAGTTAGTGATAGGAATGTGGATAAATCGTGGGGAAATTTGATTTATCAGGAATAAATGAAAATATAGATAAGGTTAATAATAGGAAACAAATGGCTCAAAATAAAGATCTTCATATGGATGAAAGGGTAGAAGGTAGGACACTGGAGAAGTTTTGAATTATGAATATATACACATTGACTGACAGAGGATTAAAAAATCCTTAGAACTACCAAATTCTAGTCGACGAGTTAGACCTTTTAAGAGAAAACTTAGTGTTTGGTTTTCCATCGTATTTTCTTGGAGTTAAACTAAGATTTTCTGAATGCCACAACATAGTCTAGCAAACCATCACCTTTTCTGTGTGTGTGTGTGTCCGCACGAGAATCTCGGAAACTACTTTACTGATCTGTAGTGAAGATGGATGGTGTTTTATGTAGTCATGATGGATGGTGTTATATGTAGTGATGATGGATGATGATGATGTTATATGTAGTGATGAGGATGCTGTTACATGTAGTGATGATGGGTGGTGTTATATGTAGTGATGACGGATGATGTTATATGTAGTTATTAGACAATAAACTAATAACAGTTTAATGCTAAAAAAATATACTTTGCTGTACCGTTGTAGTGAAAAACATGGTGAAACTTACATACACCGTTAATGAACTATTGATCTTTGGCCCTACACGGTGCTACATGTATTCCATTGAGTGGCAGAAGCGAGGTCTACCACATACCCATGTCTTGATCTGGCTGAATTATTACATTATAAATATTGATTTTGTTCTTTTTTGTGGAGGAGAAGGGAGGGGAGGAGAGGGGAGGGGAGGGGAGGAGAGAGGCGAGGAAGGTAGGGGTTGGTAGGGGAGGGGAGGGCTCCCAATATACTGCATATGCGTGTGAAAGAAACACATTATTCATTCATTATTATTTGGGCTCAACATCATAAGAAAGGATCAAAACAGTTATTAAGATATAAGGTTATAACTACCACTCATATATAAGACTTCAGATGATATCCTATAAACACTTCAATATGGTAAGGTTTAATAGTTAAGTGTCTTTCTCTTTTAGTCTTTTATATAATTTTCTCTGTTTCTGTCCTTAGTAATTCTCCCAATGTATATATTCTCTTTCTTTCCCTCTCTTTGTGGATGTGGAAATGTTGTAAAGTCCACAACTGAGCTCACTAACATGGTCTACCCAAACATTATCCACCACTACAAGGATCACAAGTGGCTGCGTGAACGCGCAATTCTGGCACCAAGGAATGAAACAGTGGCTGAAATCAACATGACTCTACTCAGACAGCTTCCAGGCAGTGAGACCTCATTCAAATCTGTTGATACAGTAATCGATCAGGACCAAGCAGTCCAGTACCCTGCAGAATTCCTTAATTCTTTGGAGCCCGCTGGAATGCCTCCTCACCACCTCACTCTCAAGATTGGAACTCCTATAATGCTCTTAAGAAATATTGAATCACCAATCCTCTGCAATGGCACAAGACTGGTGGTGAAGAACATGATGCCACATGTACTGGAAGCTACAATACTGACAGGAAAAGCTAAAGGAGATGACGTTTTTATACCAAGGATACCTCTCATCACCACTGGCCTGCCATTTGAGTTCAAGCGACTTCAGTTCTCGGTTAAAGTGAGCTATGCCATGACCATCTACAAAAGCCAGGGACAGTCCCTAAAGAAGGTTGGCCGAAACCTGGTGTTTCCTTGCTTCTCTTATGGACAGTTCTATGTTGGATGCTCCAGAGTGGGAACTGACAAAAATCTGTACATACTTGCTGCTAATGGCAAAACCAAAATTGTGGTCTACCTTAATGCACTACAGTGAGACAATGTGGAGTCTCCCGGAGGGTGGCGTCCTACCGTGGCCTAGCGAAAGAGCCTTTTGGCCCATACTAGGGAGTCCAATTTACACATAACCCCTATTGCTCATATATCCATCCAACCTATGTTTGAAGCTATCCAGCGTATTCGAGTTAATTATGATGTTTGGTAACTTGTTCCACTCGTCCACTCCTCTATTTCCAAACCAATGTTTACCTATTTCACGCCTAAATCTAAATTTGTCTAATTTAAAACCACTGTTACGAGTTCGCTCCTGGTTGGATAGTTTGAGTACCTTTGTAATGTCCCCATTGTTAAGCCCTGACTTCCATTTATACACCTCTATCATATCGCTTCTCACTCTACGTCTCTCGAGGGAGTGCAAATTAAGATGATTTAACCTGTCTCTGTGCTCTAGGTTCATAATGCCCGGGATTAGTCTTGTCATTCTCCTCTGAATTCTTGCCAAGGATTCTATATACATTCTGAAATACGGGGAGCAGAATTTAACTGCGTAATCCAAGTTAGGTCTCACTAGTGCAGGATATAGTTTTAGGATGATCTCGCTAGTCTTGTAACTAACACTGCTTCAAACATAGGTTGGATGGATATATGAGCAATAGGGGTTGGATGTAAATGGGACTGCCCATTTCCTTCATTCTTATATATATATATATATATATATATATATATATATATATATATATATATATATATATATATATATATATATATATATATATATATATATATATATATATATATGTATTCGCCAGTATGGTCACTGAACGCTACCAGCTTCATATAGTAACTGATATACAAGAGACTTTAGTTACCGGGCGTGTCAATACTAACAGGCAGGCTGGCGACACTCCTTACTTCAGGTCTTACGTCAGATCTTGATAATTAAACGGAGTACAAGTATACCATGTTTATTCAGCCCAGTGCTTCCAAGATTATACTATTATCACTTACTATCTATACGAGGTCAATATAGATGAGAAACAAGTTACATTATCGCTTCGTACACCGAAACCAACAAAATAAATCTCCCTTGGGTCCTTAGTTCACATACTTATATTAATTTAGTTTTCATAGTACATTTACACCTCATATTAAATCAATGTAATAATAGCATACTTGTTAAAATGATCTACATGTATGTTTTGATCATTCACTTCATACAACAAGAATATTTACTCTCACACAACATAATCTATTAACACATCCATCCAGGTTGTGACGCCTCTAAGACTTGTCGAGAACCTGTGTTTTGCCTCTCCCAAATTTAAATTTCGTAATAATCTGTAACCTGCATGATTGTGCGGACCCCCAAGCTATGATGTTAACCAGTACCCAGCAGTAGTTTAAAGATTTGTCTTTAAACACTGAAGCTACAGATATGTATTATATTTAAGGTGACGTATGGGCAACAATATTGAGGCATTCCTCGGTCTCGAAATTATATACAGGGAAGGACCTTTATCTATTTGAATATTAAAGTAGCAGTTTCACAATCATGCCCATTATGAGGCTGGTGGTAACAAACAGAATTCGAAAAATTTAAGATTATTCAGCAAAACTCAGCAAGCAGAGCGAATCAGTTTATTGAAAGGTGAAGGAACTTAAAAGGTCCAGTGTTTCCCAAAAAAATTCTATTGTTACATATATTAAGTTTTATTTCTGGCATTATATTACAAAACTCAATTTTCTGTTACCTTGGAATTCTGTTTGACCAAGAAAAGCCTTAAATTCGGATTGTTTAAGATTGCCCTTAAAACACACTTCCTTCTGCTTCTCCGCACATAATAATAATGTTACGAAATCACTATGCGCCTTTCAGTCAGGTATATAGTTGCTACAACGCTTCAGCACTTACTGATTTCTTGCCAAGTCGTCGATTCACCAAGAATTAGTTTTGGACACGAGTAGCAGCAAACTTTACTCTCCGCCCTGTATGTCAACCGTGTGTCTGCCATTCTGCCTGCGCAGCTTTGTACGCCAGTAGCTGGGCTGGGTTATAGTTTCCAAGTTTCTTTGTTTGCAGTACCATTATACCTACGTTTCGATAAAGCAAGTTTATGGATAGTGATATCACGGACATGAGTTGATCATTCTCAAGTAACCAGATTTGATTAGAAAGTTTCCACATTTATGAATATAGAACACTAAAATATAAAGTCACATCATCGTTCATCTACAATCCACGAACAGTTGCCAACTCGTAATATTTTGTAGGTTATAATATCTGACGATAAGAGTCTTAAGAGATAACTTACAGTCCTACAACATTGTAAGTAACAGACTAGTCGATAAAGTGGACAGTCTATGAAGGATCACAACCCTTACCCATAATTCTCCATTTATCAGGAGTTCAAGTGTTGTAGAACTTGTAGCAACACTAGTAGAGAACAGTAATTGTGACGGACAGGGCAAGGGGCTCAGGGCGACGTGACACCTCTGGTCAAATTTTGTTTTTTATCACTATGACGCTGTAACCGGTGACGACAACCGCTACTACAAAGAGTATCAATCCCTGACTCGTTATCAACAGCTTATGTACATGAGACTGCGCCTAGGGTACAGGCACCTATGGGAATACATTGGCAACCCTGAGCCTGGCCACACTGTTTGTAAACTTTGTGGCCAACCCGACTCCCACACCCTCCGTCATTACATCCTCACTTGTCCCCAGCCGTTACCAACACCTCTTCCCTCCTTGACCACATATCCCTCCTCCTAGTCACAGGCCTGGCACTTGACATTATTAGGGACCTGCCACGCTTTGCTATAAACAGATGAAATGTACCGAGAATTTTCCACCCACACACTCATCATTCTGTTACTTTATATAAATTGCTGACAAAACCTATGACTCTTCAGGCTTCCACGCCCTTAATGCATGAGTCATAAAGGCAAGCATGAACTTAGCATGCTTCCCAGTTGGGCACAGTAAACGCTTCTGCGCTTCACCTTGCACAGGATGTAAGGGGGGGTGCCCAATAAACTAGGACCGTCCGGGGTAATCTAAAAAAATATTTTTGTCATTTACCTTTACTTTTTTACTGAATGGGATCCTCTTGCTTCACACGCCTCTGTACTCTCCGAGTACCTTTCGTTTTTCACACACACACAGAGATTGTGAGTGAAAGCAACAAGACGACTAGTGGGAGTGGTTATGAGGGTGACCTAAATATTGAAAGGGCTATAATAAGGGTGTTGTGTTCACGGTGATATTCACTACGCTGATAACGAGTAGTGTTTGTGGTCTGTGATAATTGTAATATATCTCTGTTTGTGCATTGTATCTATGTGTATACGATTGTTTCATAATTAGTACAACAATAAACGTTTAGTATGGCAGTGAAGGAAACGCAACTAGGAGATGGACTTTTGTTTGTAACGTTTCGTCAAGAGTTTTTTAAAGGAATGATCAGTGGAAGAAATACAGGGAGATGGAAATGAGTAGTAGGAGTAGAAATAGGTGCCGTGGCTTAACACAGCATGCCTGACTACTATACAGTAGTATTGTAGTAACCGTCGCGACAAGACCCACGCAGCTTTTAAAGTTTAACAAATTTATTGGTAAAGCTTGTAGTACAGTTTGCCTATTCTGAGTAATTCAGTCAGGTCTTGACACTGAGGGTGGTATCACTTCTCACTGCCACGCAAGACAGAGGTTCATACACAAAGAAATACATCATATTCATTAACAGCTATATATGTATAGAGGTCAGATTCATGTGGGTAATGTCACTCTTCACTGCCATACAAGACAGAGGTTCGTACACAAAGAATGCATCATATTCATTGACACTATATATAGGTCAGTGGTTCACATACATTGGAGTCATATTCTAATTGAAGACTAATCAATGTGGGCTAGCAAATTTGGGATAAACAGCAAGAATGTCCTCAAGCACCACCCGATTCAATGTAGTAATTACATAGTTCAAGATATAATTAGTCAGGTGGCCTGAAGTCTTTGACAGTATCGCATTCAATATTATATAATAATAATAATAATAATAATAATAATAATAATAATAATAATAATAATAATAATAATAATAATAATAATAATAATAATAATAATAAATAATAATTAACGGTTTATTGAAAGAACTTGGCAGCCAGAAGGCTGAAAATATACAGTTACATATTTGGGGAATGGGTTTCGAATTACAAATAATATGCAAGTAACATAAGTGATACAAATAAGATATAGAATAACTAAATGGGGAAAAGCTCAAACTACAGTTCATTTCAACATAGTGACAGTGCAAGGAGTAGTGTTTACTGGGAGTGAATACACTGGTTTATTACAAGTTACTGATAATTTTTGCAATGGTTGGGACTGGGCTGTTCTTATAGCGATCAGTTCGTGCACGTATGGGCTGAATGCAGTTGTGGTGTCGAACAGCAATTCTCGGGCTAGGGATCTCAGGTGGTAGTAGGAGGCGGTGTCGAGGATGGTGTAGAAGCTTCTTACCAAATTTGCAGATGAGGTCGTGGTGATGGTCAGTGAGAGCCGAAAGGGTCAGTGTGTTGAGCGCTTCTTGATATGTGGAGTAGGAAGGCGAGAGAATAATCTTGCGTGCCCTCTTTTGCACTTTTTCTAGGTGTTTACGTTGTGTGGCATTTAGGGAGGAAGACCAGGTGGGGGAGGCATAGGTGAGCTTGGGAAGTATGAATGTTGTGTAAACACTGAGGAGCTCGGGTGCAGGAACTCCGAGGGACTTGAGTCGGCGGAGGAGGTGGAGACGGAAACTGGAGGATTTGACAACTTCACTGACGTGTGGTTTCCAATTTAGTTTGTTGTCTATGGTGACGCCGAGGAGCTTCGTGGAATCTACAACCTGGAGTGTGTTCGGACCTAGAGTAATGGAAGGAGGTGGGACAATGTCGGAGGAGAGGTTGATGTGCATAACCATGGTCTTGGTATGGTTGATGGTGACATGGTTGTTGGTGGCCCAGTTTTGGAGACTGTTCAATAAATCCTGAAGGGCGGTAAAGTTGGGAGCAGAATTGTTGACGCTGATCCCAATGGTGGAGTCGTCGACATATTTCCAGCGAGCAGGGGTTTCTCTTAGGGCATCATTGATGAGCATAAGGAAGCAGAGTGGTCCCATCTTGGTGCCTTGGGGGACGCCACAGGTGAGTGACTGAAAGGTGGAGACAGCCCCTCGGAAGCATACAGCTTGGCGTCGGTCACTGAGGAAGTCTGTAAGCCATGGTATAAGACTTCTCCGAAGCCCGAGGTCAATAGCTTTGTTGATGATTATATTGTGGTCGACTAGGTCGAACGCTTTAGTGAAATCAATGAAGGCGACAGCTACAGACGTTTTTCGTTTCTCGAGATGGCGGTATATGTAATCGAGAAAGCTGACAACACAGTGAGTGGTGGAGGAAGTTTTCATGTTGCCAAATTGCTGAGGGTCTACGACTCCTGCAATATCAGCATAAGCCCAGTCGAACACAAAAGTTTCACAGATTAGGCTGGGTATTGGGGTGATTGCAATAGGTCGTAGCTGATTTAAGGATTGTGGGCTGGTTGACTTGGGCACTGGTGATACATAAGAGGTCTTCCAGTCAGCTGGGCATCTGGCTTGGCTGAGAAAAGCATTGATGATGGAGCATAGGGGTTTAGCAAGCTCCGGGGAGAACTCCTTGAAGAGTTTCATTGGTAAGTCAATGGGGGTGGTAGAGCGTTTTAATTTCAGTTTGTCCAGGCGTTTTGCTACTTCAAATTCTTCTACTAAGTCAGTGGGAAGGGGGGCTGGTAGGTAAGCAGGGAGAGTGGTTGTGTCAAGCCGTGGGAGCGTCTGGCATATAGTAGCGAAATGGTTATTTGTTTGCTCAGCTGCGTCAACATTAGTGAGATGGCTAAGGAAGGGGAGGGGGTGTGTCTTATTGTTTAGTCCACAGAGTTCTTTAAGCTTACCATACCATTGACTGATGTTGGTCTGCTTCAGGTGTTGTAATTTGGTTGGGTAGTGGGACTTCTTTGCAGTGCGTATTTCGCGGATGACTCGGTTGCGAAGGGACCTGTAGCGGATGTGGTCATTGAGATGAAAGGCTCTGTCTCTCTGTTGCATAAGTCTTTTGATCCGAGGTGTGATCCAGGGCAAGTCAGCTGGGTGAGATCTGACGGACTTCTCGGGGAAGAAGTGGTGGTGAGCTTCCGTGGTGGTGTTGGTATAATTTATCCATTTGGTTTCCACGTCATCCACGCTAAGTACTTCAGTCCAGGGATGGTGACTATCCACTGCCCGAAGAGGCGCACTGCAGAGTCAGTAATCGGCCTGTAGGTCTTGATGTAGGGTCTCTGTACTTGAGTGGGAGTGGCACCTGGGGACCAGAGCACTGATAAGTGTGTGCTACACCCGATAGGAGGCATTGGTTGAGGTGGTTGGTACTGGTCCGCTAAGTCAGTTAAGATAAGGTCGAGGGTATTTTGACAGTGTGTGGGGAAGGACACAACTTGTTTTAGTGATAGCTGGTCCTGGATATCAGTGGTGTCAATTTCATTAAAATCCCCACATAATACTAACTTGGCACATGGGTACCTAACTCTGAGGTGGTGATGAGATGATTGATAAGAGTGTCTCTGGTGGATGATCGAGGCGGATGGTATGCCACACAGATTATGATGGAAGCAGTGTTGCGCGGGTGGGCCCGTAGCACGACACGTACCCATAATGCTTCCACATCTGCTGGGACTTGAACATCCAGGCATGACGGGCGTAGGTCATCTTGACAGAAGAGGGCAACGCCCCCTCCGCGTCTATGTGAACGAAGGTGATGAAAGAGTTGATATCCCTCAATATGACACGTTTCAGGCACAATTTGCCAAGCCTCACATATGGCAACGACGTTCGCGGCGGCTGACCTGACTGTAGTTGCCAGCTCGTCGAACTTGTTAGCTAGGGAAGTGACGTTGGATAGCAGTAAAGACGGGAGATCATACCATATCCGTGGAACTTCAGTGTGGTGGTATGGTCTGTCAGGGGTGGGTTTCT